AAAGAATGCTAGTTAGTCTCTAAGGAGGGACCTCAGTGAACTACACCTTCTATTCCTCAGCCTTCAGGGGCTCCTTTCCCACATGGAGCCGGGGCTGGCCTGTTGAAACAATGAGAGTATAGCAATGGTTTCTTTAAATAACATTTACATCTGCTGCTTTAGTCTTTTGGAATATTCTGGGATAAACCAGCCAATGTAAAAATGTCCCGCCAATAATTCTAAATCAACTCAAGTTGGCCATGTGGTTGGGGGAGAGAGAGAAAGACTGACCACCTGGTTCCTGACAGTTGCTGCTGTCATCCCAATTTAGATACCAACCAGTGATTAAAGAAGCCACCCTGGACATCCACTCAGGTCAGTCTCCAGATGACTTCCACCTAGCCACCATCTCACATAGGTGAACCCCAAGCAACATCTGCCCAGCAGAGCTCATGCAACCCACAGAACTGCTGGGACCAATGAATTGCTCTACAAAACACCAAGTTTTGGGGTGGTTTGTTATCCACACATAAGTAACTGCTACCCCGTATCTGCTAGAGTTCATTGGTTTTCTCTCCACCCCAAAGCATTACTAAATGAGGAACATCACTGTTCTGGTACTGAAATCAAACCCAGGACCTTGTGCTTGCCTGGCAGGTGCTGTGACAGTGAGCTACCTCTCCAGCTCCGAGGAACATAACTTTAATGGGCAACTCCCTGCTGAACTTCTGTCGTATATAAGACAGTAGATTCCACAGTAAGAGATGGGCTTGTGCTTATGCTGTGAGTGATGGTCAGAGATACACTAACCCACAGTGTGGCAGAGTGGCTTCCACAGATACAAATCAATACATTGACACTTGTTATCTCTGAATAATCTTACATGAAGACTGTGGTCATTAAACAGTGAAGATGTAATCCTTGAGTGACACAGAACTGTGCATTTTATCTGATTTCGAGAGGAAGGAAGTCAAGGTGGATGAGCTGGCAAATAGATTTATCTTTGTATCAGCAACCCATCACCTAACAACTTGCTTCAAATTTAGCAATATATATAATCAAGATACGTATATATATATATATATATATATATATATATACACACACACACATACATACATATATATTGATTAAAAACTACAATGAATGCTTAAATTAACACATATTTATGATAGTAAAAGGCATATTGACATTAATCCCCTTCAAGATACCCATCCTCACTTCAAACACATCCATCACATCATTTTTGCCACTTTCTAGAGCAATTCTGGAGTCCTCTTTTGTGTTTCAGTTGTGCTTTCATGGCTGTCATAGTATCCTAAATTGATTCAAAATATTCATGTTTCATGGGCATTTTGACTTTGGGGGAGACCTGGAAGCCCAAGATGCTAGATCTGTTGAATAGGTGGATAGTAAGGACATAGCCTAATGGTTCTTTGGGCCTGTCTCTTCCTGGATGGTATTCGGCAGCAGCATTCACTGCATTTTTGATCCTGACTCATAAACATACAGAAGACTTCCAGAGCTGCTTCAGAAAGTGGCAACAATAATAGGGTAGGTGTTGCTTGCTCAACATCTAGGGGGAGAGTTTTCAGGGGGATTAATATGTCTTCCACTGTAATAATTTTTAAAATTTAAATCTTTAGTATACGTCTTGATCATCCCTTGAATAGCTGTGGTCTCCGGCTGTGTGTGTCAGGGGTCCAAGCATGACCCTGCTTGCTCTGCTTTAGTCTCTTCCTCAACAATCAAGGTCTAAAGCAAAAGTCTTTCTTGTCTAGTCCATGCTCACAGGTTGTTGTAAAAATGCAATTCATTGTCACTGCAGAATTGAGGTGTCTGTTTTCCAGCAGGACATTGGCTGGGTGAGCTTTCTGAGATGCTACTGGTCGCACAGCCTTTCCTACAGGAGATGTCCTAGGTCTCTTACTTATGCTGAGGTCTTCAAGACCAAAGAAGATCACTCACTCTCCATGTTTTTCTCTCCTCTCTCTTTCCATAACCATACTGATTCATATACATAGAAAGTCACCTCACCCAATCACCATCAATAGATCAATCTAATAGACCAAATATCCCACTTTATTTCCAAATGTGCCTATGTGGGACGGGACGATTTTTTGCAGGTTGCTTATGCTAAGAGGGTCATGCTAGAGTTCTATCAGTGTCTTTGTGCTAAATTTACCCCAAATCCTGGATCTCTAGTCTTTATTTTGTTCTCACTAGCGCCAGGGGAAGTGTGTTGGAGAAGCCATGCTCTTCAGCACTACAAGGGTGTTAAATTTGCTTTCTCAAACTTACTATCATTCCAGCCACAAACTGTTCTTTCCATCTACCTTTCCGTCTACTTCCTATCTAGCCAGGCACTGTGGGAAGACCAAGGAGGTTCTAATCATGAGCAAGAGCATTCCGAGTGGAGTACGAAGCATAAATATAGAACTATAACACCATGCAGCAAAAGATAGAACAATTTCTGTGGGATCCAGAAATATTTTGCAACGCTGAAGCTTGGTCTTGATGCATTGATACTATTTTGATAGTGTGATAAACAAAAAAAGCCTATTGGATTATAATTTCACCTACAATTGTGTAGGCCACCTGATAATGAAAAAGTCACTTTCTGATGTCTCTCATTTACTTGGAAGAGCTATAATAACACAACAAGTTGGTCTTCTTGTTTCATGAAATACAGAGAAAAGACAGGATGCAGGGTTATTCTCTCAGGATGGATGTCCAAGCACAAAGCCTGAGATGGGCAGGCCCACATTCTTGGGCAAATCACTTCCTGAGGATGCACTTGCAGGAAAAGCAGCAGGGTAATGAGAGATAAGTATGGGAAGTATGAGAAGAAACAAGCAAGCAGGGAGAAGTCCAGCCCCGGCCTGGACTGGAGGAGAACTCTGAGTAGGGGTGTACTGCCATGTTCCTTCTGTCCATAGATTGGCCTGTTTCCCCCCATTTGCTCCCCACCCCACTTTAATCAGATGTTAGTCACAGGAAAGGGGCCACAAGCTTCTGGGCATCTCCAGGCAAGGCAGCTCCTGCTAACCAAGGATTCTCTGTCTCCAGAAAATGGCTCTGCACTGGGCTCTCAGCAGCCAATCCTTGTGACAGGTGTGGGCCAGGACACTACCCTGGAAAGTGGGATCTGGACAGGGCCCAACTAGCAGTGTCTGTCATCACATAGCTGGCACGTGGGGGAAGGAAGAAAGACAATGAGTCTTGACTGCTTCAAAAACCAGTGGGTCTGCTTCCCATAGCTCCTAAAGGCTTTTAAGCAGGCAGCCACATGTGCACTGATTTCTGTTACCTAAAAGTCTCTGAGTTTTCCCCCAGAGTAAAGCTTGTATCCATTTCCATGGATAAGGAAATGACGGATCCGAGAATTTGAACCTCAGGCCACAGGACCAATAATTTGATTTTCATCCTAGTTTATTTATTATTATTATTATTATTATTATTATTATTATTAATTTATTTATTTATTGTTTTTCCCTAAGACAGGAATTTGGACAAAGTGAGGTAAAGATCTTAAGGTCAAGGCGAAGAGCCAGAGATATTTCTGATATCAAAACCCTTGAATCAAAAAATGAAAATAGATGACATCTTTAACCCTGCTTTGCTTTCCTTGCTCCCCAGTGTGGAGAGCTCTGGTCTGGTCTGGAAAGCGAGCTGAGGTGTCCTTTGCCCAGTAGGAGTATGCTTTCCTACACTCCGCTTCTATCAGGTTCCAGCCCTTTTGCTGGCAGGCCCCTGGCATCCCTCCTGCTGTCTGAACTGCCTAGCATCCTAGGTGCCTGTGTGGATTCTTCTCAGGCTCAGCCTCATTGAGAGCCTCATGCTTTACTTCTTTCTCCTCTCACACTCAATTGGATGTACAGAAAAATGGAGAGTTAGGACACAAGAGAAAAATCAGCAATGACTCTGTCCTCCCAGTCAAACCTTTTAATCGCTGTTTCCTCTTCTGGAAAATTAGTGTGCTATTTCCCACTTCTCCGAATGGTTATGTGGGTTAGAAGCAACATATTTAAAGTACCAAGCACTTAGCAGGTGTGCAATAAATGACAGTTATTTTTATACAACAGAAACACCTGCTTAGGAGCAGAAGACACATGGGGGCCTGCTAAGTAAGCTTCCCACAACCCGCCCTTGGAAAGCAGCTGTCAAGGCCACGGGTGCCTGACAGGCAGGGGCTGCTCGATGCCTTTGGTGCAGCAGACCTGCCTACCAGACAGTCTTCCCTGTATCTCCCCACCTTCTTCTCCCTTCCCCTGTGCTGGATCCCTCAGGCCGTCCTTACACATGATGACAATACCCCTGGGCTCTGAGATGTGACTCTGCAGCAATTCCACAAAGCCGTCCTGGCAAAAGGCAGAGGACCACAAGTCAAGGACTCTGGTCAGCTCTAGCTGACCTTTGGACAGATTCTCATCCCTTACTGTTTCTCTAATATTCGGGGAAGAGTGTCTGCTATGCCTTACCTTTGTCATACTAGGTGGCTACTGGCCTTGTCACTGGGCAGTATTGCCTTCAGAGTGAGCAATAGTTCTTTCTTTCTGCTAAACAAATGACTTACAAGCACGAAAATTTTTCTTATTCTTTTTTTTTTTTTTGGGTGGTGGCGCTAAAGATTGAGTCTAGGGCCTATAGCCTTTGCACTGCACTACATCTCTCCCAAATCCGTTTTTGTTTTAAGACAGAATCATGCTCAAAGGATCAAAGTTGATCTCCTGACTCAGAGAACTGGGATTTTAGGCATGAGCTGCGATGCCTAGCTATGACCATCTCTTATCAGTGTCTCCTCCTCTCTGCCACACTGCTGCTTGATTCATCCCAGGGTCATAGCTGGATTCATGTTGAGCTATGGAACACAGCTGCTCTGTCCAGTGTGCACATGGTGTAATGTGATTTCCTTTTCCCTCCTAGCCCCTCTTTGCTCTTTTAATAAAATGCAGAACAATTACTGACTTATGGTTTCCTGTTGCATTTTTTTCTTTCCTTATAGAATTAAAATTGTGTTTGGCAGAAAGGATGGACTCAAAAGAAAAAGGAAAACAGTGTCAATGAAAGGTGGTGACCTCTGGCTCCATCCCTATGAGCAGCAGGCACACTGAGCACTGCTGTCTTTTCTCTTCCTTGTCTCTTAGGCTGAGTAAGCCTCTCCCAGGGTAGGAGGAGCAAAGCAGCCTGTGCTCACAGGCACAGCCTCACTTCCTCATCTGACTGATTTCCAGGCTGGGTGTGGATAACCACACAGTGCTAACAGGATTTCAGGGCTATCTGATTCCTGCAGGAAGGAGGGGGCAGGTGCTGCTCCGATTCAGCTGCATCAAGTATGGTGGATGTTCCATGCTCAGCTGCTTTCAGATGCCTTTCTGGAAGGACCCCTCTGGAGGTCCCAGGCTGCCCAGGCACTTGAGCCGGAGCAGGAACCTCACTCCTTCCAGTTAACAACTGTCTTTATTAATAGAACTGGTGTTAGGCAAGTTCATTGCTATGGTATAGATTTACAATACCCACCCCCCAAGGTCTTATGGATTCAGAGGTGCACTTTTGGAAGGTGATTGGATCATGGGGACCCTGTGTTCACGAATGGATTGCTATGGGTAAGTTCACAGCTAACTGTGTAGTTGGGCGGTGAGTTCTGGTTAGAAGACCTGGGCCCCTGCAATTGTGCCTTTGGAAAATGTCCTTTCTAGTATTCTCCCTTCTCTCTGATTCTTGGGTGCCCTGTGGTGAGCGGCTTTCTTCTACCTGTTCTTTCATTAGGCCACTTCTGCCTTGGAGCTAACTGACCGTGGACGGAATCTGCTGAACCACAAGCCAAAGGAAACCTCTGCTCCTTTTAATTGTGGGTGTCAGTATTGTCTCTCAGCAGTGGGAAACCTGACTGACACACTCAGAAAGAACAAATGGGATCTGGTTCCCAACTTTTCAGCATTTCAGGCCTATCAGAATGGGTCCTGGGTCTCGTGCTGTATCATCTCAGCAAAACAGAGCAAGGACGAGAGCTAAACAGCTGCATAGAGGTCTGGAGCTCTAGCTTCTGATTTATTTTACTGTCTTAGAGACTAGCTAAGGTAACACCAAGAATGAATGAGTTGATATTGTCACTGAGATCCCTGTTCCTCTTCTAATGGTAGATAAGACATAACCTGTCCCTAGTTCTAGTCCTGTTTTCCTCCATTCATGCCCGTCACTTCTGGCTGAGACAGCCTGGGCTTAAACCTTAGCAACTTCATTAGTGCATAAGAATTTATTGGTGGTATAAGAAAGCATCTTCTCTTTGGCACCGGGATTCTTTTTGGACTCTTCTTTTAGTTATCCCATTTTTGAGCAATCTTTGGAACTTGTGTGAATGTTTCTGATAAAAGTGAGCTCCTGTGATGTGCTGCACAGGACAGGACTCTGTGTATTGCAAAGTACCATGCTCACCGGAAGTGAGCTATAAATATTTCCCTCCCCCTTCTGCTGAGATGACAACCTTAATGGGCTCTGAAGGGAAGCATTCCTTCTGCTGTCTGCACAAGGCCTGGGGTGGAGTGTGGGCCAGGCTTGGGTCAAGGCAGGCTGGAGCTGCAGAAACACCAGCAAGGTGACTCACTTCCCTGATAAGGCTGCTGAGAACACGCAGGCCCCTTCTTGCCCTTCCTCCAGCTCCACATACCCTTATGGTGCAAGGCCTTTAGCAAAAGGGCAGGATAGTCAGGTCAGGGATAAGTGTGTCTGAAGCTGAGGTTTTCCTTTTAAAAACATCTGGGTAGAAATGAATAAATAAATAATCTATGTTTGGCCCTAAGTGAATTTCAAGTCCTGTCAATGTGACCTTGGTCGAATTCTTCCTGTTCCTATGTCTCTTTCTTCCTCTTTGAACTTGTCACAATAATTCCTTCATTCTGAGTTTGCTAGTGGGAAATTGTAGTGAGCTCTTAGGTGTAGGAGACCATTAATATCAATGCCAATTTCTCTTTGTTAAGTATAAACTATGGCAGGAAATGGTTTTGTTTGGCTCGCTCCTGTTTTCTTTCTCATTGTACTGAGTGCTTTATTTGCATAAGATAAAAAATCGAATGTATGGAATTGCACCAGGCAGACTGATGGAGGCGTTGGTGAGAAAGCTGAAGGCTGAGTGGGCTTCTGTGACCCTCACCCCTAGCAAGGTGGTTCCCAGGGACAGAAATGAAACTCTCCTTTTGATGTGCAGGTGCCAGGCTGCCTTAGGCATTGCTCTTCAGTTGCTATTTTCACATCTTAACTTTAACTCTCGGGAGCTAAAAGTGACTATCACATGCAGGATTCCAAATTTGGAGCTGATTTTGAAACCTCTCCTGACTTACATGTTGGCGAATATGGGATATATGTCCATAAATGCATGCTGATCTTACAGGGAATAAATTGTGAGACTAAGCAAAGGCTATAAAGGCCATCCCTCCCATTGGCTTTTCACAGTATCTAAATGACAAACACAGATTTTGCAATTTTTGTGCTCTACTTGAAGTGGCTTTCTACTCAGCTGCCTCCTGGGGAGCAGTCTGCAAATCCAAGATCACTTGGAAAGTCAAGGGTTTAATCTTTCTAGCTGTAGGTTTTGTTCATTACTGAAATCAGAACTATATGTAAATACCCTGTGAGGCAAAGTTAGATCATAGAGAACTTCTTATTCATCTTTATCCTTTATCCTCCTCTCCATCCTTAATTTCCCCTGATCTACTTTGAGTTTTTACATAGGGTTAAAATCCACATTCTGGATTTTATTTGGAACAGGTACAACCGTCACCTCCAAAAACAATAAGGAAACTCAGCAAAAATAAATCTTCTGATGCAAGTAAAAAATAAATCTGATGACCACAGTGAGACATTAAAAATTAAAAGAGTAACTCCGACAGGAGAGGACACAGAAAGGGCCAACAGTAATCTTCCTCTGAAGTCACACAAGCATACAGACACTGTAATAAGTGCACTACAACCAGCTCTTTTGAGTTGGGGGCAAGATAATTATATTCAAAAAAAGACAGCGTCTCCAGAAAAATCTGTTTTTCCCCAGTGAAATACTTTTAGTGCCTTCATATAGAGACATATATTACACAATGTTAACAACCATGAAAAACAATACAAAATGCCCTCCATTTAACAAGTAGAAAAATATAACTAGTATATATGGCAATTGTGAATCTAATACTGTACAGAAGTAATTTATGGGATTTTACAAATAAATTATAGCTTCAATGCCCTTTTTAAAATTCTTTCTCTCCCCCTCCCCTAGATATACAGCCGAAGGTGCAGTATATAGCAAAGGTCCCGAGCTTTGCTGCTTAGAAATCAGTGCCAGTCAAATGTTCTGCCCACGAGTTCGAAGAATTTCTTATTTGGCTCGTGGAAATACTCGTGCAGTTTGTGGAGGAGTTTGGGGTCCACTTGCGGGTGCGCCCGGCCTTTGGACTCATGCAAGCAGCGGTCCCGGCCGCTGTCCCGCAGGCAGTAGAAGCCCTTGGTTTTGTTGAAGTAGAAGTTCGAGGCGTTGATCTGGGGGGCCAGCCGGAGGAAGCGCTCGACCTTCTGGATCTCGGGGAAGGGGTCCTTGATGAGGCGGTCGCCGTCCACCAGGTGGATGCGGCGCAGCGGGAAGAAGCGCAGCCAGCCCTGCAGGTGCGCGTGGTAGAGGCTGCGGTTCAGGGCCTTGTAGTCCACGTTGAGCCGGCCGTCGCTGCGCACCAGGAACTCCTTGATGGACGGGTAGGGCTTGTGCTTCTGCCTGTGGTTGTAGAACACTTGGGTGTAGTCGGACAGCACGCGCTCCGCCGGGTCCCGCACGATGAGCAGCAGCCGGATGGCCGGGTTCATGTGGTACACGCGCGCAGGCACTTGGGGCGACGTGAAGTAGGCGGGCGTCTTCTCCACCGTGAGCTGGTGCGGCCAGGAGAAGGGCATCTGGCTGCGGTACCAGCCCAGGCCCAGGCGGTAATGCTCCTCCCAGTCGAAGAAGTGCACCTCGTTCTCGGCGGCCGCCACGTCGGGATGCAGGCTCAGCATCTCCAGCAGCGCGCGGGTGCCGCCCTTGCGCACCCCGATGATGATGGTCTGCGGCAGCTGCTGCTGCTGCGCTGAGCCATTGGTGGCCGCGGGCTCTCGGAGGTCATCCTGGAGGCTCCCGGCCTTGCGCAGCGCCTCTTGCAGGCCAGCCTCTGGCGCTGGGGAGGCGGGGCGGGAAGGCACCAGCTGGGGCTGCACCAGCAGCAGCATCGCCCCCAGCAGCAGCGCGGCCATGCTGGACACTGCGGGCGGTGGCTTCACTGGGCCTTGCGTCCCAGGAGCATGAACGCCACGCAGGACAGGCCGCGGGTCACTGGCTCATGGGCGTTGCAGGCTGCTGATTACTGCGGAGGGCAAAGGGAGAGGATGTTAGCCCAAAATGTGCCAAAGGGTGCAACTGCTGTGGAAATCAGAGGGGAGAGTCTTCAAAACGCTAGGATCAAGGGTCCCATTCAACCCAGCTTTTCCCGTTTTGAATGTCACCCTAGAAAATTAAAATCATGATAAATGAAAATTAAAAAGTGATACATGTGCACCTAGGTTTATAGCAGCACGGCTTGTAATAAATAAATCTTGGAAACCACCCAAATGCCCATCAACCACTGAATGAATAAAAATTGTGGTATTTTTACACAATGGAGTACTACTCAGGTATAAAGAAGGATAAATTTGAGACTTTTATAAGTAAATAGATGCAAGTTGATAGCATACTCATAAGGGAAATAAATCAGATGAAACAGTATTGTTGTCCGGGTGTGAGAAATTGAAAGAGTAATATCTAAAACGTATAGTAGATGCTGTGAAATGGTAAGAAATGGTTTAAAAGGAGAAAGGAATTGGAATGGAGGAAACGTGAAAGGAAGGAAGGGAAAAGAGAGAGAAATGCAAGCTAGCTACACTGTTAGTTTCTCTTAGTTCAAGGAAAAGGAAGGTCTGTGCTCGTATCCACTGCAGAACTTTTTACTCCCCTGCCTTCCACTGAGTAACTACTTTGAAGATGACAATATGCAATGTATTAGTCTTATTATTCTCCCAATATTGTTATGAAATTCTGTTCTACCTTTTTCCTCATTAGAAAAAGAATTTAAGAATGCACAGGAGCAATCCAGTGGGCAGCTACAGCCCTCCATGCCTTCACCATCCTGGGCCTACGTGGCTTTCCTTGTTTTCTTGATGCTCTAAAGCGGAGGGGTGGCAAACATTCTCTTTCTTCATTGCTGCTTTGAGGCAGGGTCTCGCTGTGTGGCTCTCAGTTCTCCTGTCTTGGCCTCACAAGTGCTGGGACGTCGTGCCCAGTGCGTGACAAACATGTTCTATAAATGGCTGGGGAGTAAATATTTTAGTCTAAGTGGGACATATGGTCTCCTTGGCAACTCCAGTTCCAACAGTGCAGTCACAGCTCTAACTCAGCCAGAGACAGCAGACAAAGGAAAGAAAAGGCGTGGTTGCGTCCCCGTAAAACTTTGTTTATGGACCAGCTATTTATGTTTAGCTTGCTAACTGCACAAAAGCAGGGCCAGGTTTACCCCGTCAGCCAGAGTTTGTCAACACCTGCTATAAAGAAAAGGCGTGGCAAGGTCCTTTGCACCTCAAGTAGCGTCCATGAAATAGCAGGCAGCTCGAGGCAGAAGTACAGGTGACCCAAAGGCAGGCTTTGCTTTGTGCTCCTCAGATGCAGGGCCTCCTGATCTATTAGGGCTGATGGATTTGGATGCAGGAGTGCATGACTGGTCCTCAGTCTTGTCCCAGCATCCAGCTCTGGCCATGGCTCATTTGGGACAGTGTGAGTCCTAGCAACGTGATATGGGTTTGGATAATACGTGAAGTAGCCACATGCCACGCCCAGACTTGCTGTAAGAGGCCTGGAGCCTCTGCACTACAGCTGTCACTGTAAGAAGACTGTGCCCTGGCCAATGGCTGTTTAGGGGAGAGGAGGATGGGAGAGATGTGCACCAAAGCCTGCCACCCCAAGGCTGCTGCATGGAGCACAACCCTCCCTGCTCCTGAGGCACAATGCACAATGGTGGCTGAAGAGACAGCATTTCAGTGTCACTCATGGCAAGTGTGAATTGTGCAAATGGTAAGGGATGGAACAGACAGCAGCAGGTGAAATGCCTGGTGACTCTAGTTTAGCTACTAGAAGGGCCAAACCAAAGACTGAGGGTACCCAGAGTGAGCAGAAAGCCTTCTTGTGCATAAGGCTTGACTATTTATAAACTGGCTCCCAGTTGCCTCTTCAGATCATCAGCACAAGCTTATACCATACAGTAGGAAGACAGGACCAATTTCACCAGCACTTTACAGAGGTCAGTCTCACCTAAGGACAAACGTTTAGTCCATTTTAGAATTCGGAACTCAAGTTCAGAACCACAAACACAGGGCTCTCCCCAGACTCCTGTCTACCAAGCTTCTGAGACTGAGACCATTTCCACCATCAAGTTCTTCAAGAAGACAGGCACTGCTGGTCCTGATGTCCATGCGTCCCAAAGACAGAGAAGTCACTGATGCTTTTTAGAGGGGTACATAGCAACCTGTGCGTCCCCACAGTGAGGGGACAAGAAGCTAGCATGAGAGCTGTCCCTGTCTGGACTTATTAAGGAAGGGCTGCAGACAGGGGTTCCCAGTACGAGGAATGCACGGTTTACAAAGCCAGTAAAAATACTCTCCATCCCGAGGGCTCGTCAGCCTTCTCACAACCTATGAGTTTAAAACTTGTCCAAAATGTGCAGACCAATAACAAAGCCTAGGGCTCCTCTACGCAGTACTCTGGTTTGACAAATGAAAACTACAAAGCAAGCAGTTAACCAGATGGGTCACCCATGAGCAACATAGTACACTGAGAGAGGGTCCTGGGGGGAATGCGTCCGGGGAAGAGTGGCCAAGCAAGGTGAGGGTTTGGGTTAGTTCCGCTAAGGGTAAGAGTCAGTGTAGGTTTCAGAATGTTCAGGTCAGATTTCACTTCCTTCTCAGTTGCTCAGGTCACTGGCTAAAGGACTGGTTGCACTTTGCTTTTATACAAGCAGGGCGCTTGTGTGCGTGCATCTGTGTCTCCACGGAGCACATGTAGTTGGGTGGATGGGTGAAGCCGGTAGTCGCCACTATACCCTGGGGGCTGTGCTGTGTGCTGTGTGTTGGTTGCAGCTGCCCTCAAGTCAGGGTTCTACATCCAGACCGGGGAAGGGATGGCCATACAAAGTGTTCACTCGCAGTGTAGAGGCTGGGGCAGAAATTTATAGCTTTCTACTGTTTCCTCTCAACAGGAGCCGTTTCAGTTATGTCTGAGATGTCTCCCGAAAGGCAAATTAGGAGCAGTTCGCAGAGAAGAAACTAAATATAGTTTATCCTTTATAGGAAAGAAAGAGAGAGAGAGAGAGAGAGAGAAGAAAGGAAAAAGAAAAGAAACTGGGCAGTTAGTACTTTAAAATCCTTGTTTCTATTTTAATACTTTCCAAAAATAACTTTATTGATGTTTAAACCACTTTCATTCCAAAAACGTTTGAGGTATATGGGGAAAAATAGTTATAGTCTTACGGGAATGCATGACATATATTTGTAACGTGTATGGGGCTGGTGCATGTATGCATGTATGCTTACAGATATGCAATTGTGCATGGTGCATGCTAGCATATGTAGGATTTATTACATGTGATTTACACATTGTAGTACCCATTGGGAGTCAGTTTCTTCATGTAACTTGATAATTTGGACTTCCTGGTGGCATAGCTAGAGTTTCTGGGCCTTTCAGTACTGCTCTCAGGAAAGAAAAGATCCCCAAGTTGCGAGGAATTCTAGTCAGTCATCCAGGTCACCTTGATGTTAACTTTGAACCCCTGCCTTCCGCTACACAGGGAAGGAGACCCAAGGTGACCGGCCACAGCTGGAGAGGAGCTCCAGCCTACTGCTTTTGGGTACTGAGTTCTGAACCTGCAATCTGGCTCTAAAGAAGGGGTTTCTCTGTAAATAATGACAGCACTGTAGGTTCCCAAAGGAGGAAGACCCAGGCCAGTGTGCAGCAGGGACAGTTCCTTGGCCACTGCCCCAGGAGGAGCTGACACATGTGTCCACGCCCCAGGCCGTCAGTCTCCTTCCTCCCTCCTGTTCAGTGGGCAGTCAGAAGCTGCTACACAGGCGTGGAATGCCAGTTCCACTTCTAGTGCTGACTGTAGTCCTAGCAACACAGCCTCTCTTACCCTTGATTTACTCATCTGTAAAATGGCAGCATCTCCACCTGCCTCAAAGAGTTCCTCTGAGACTGAAAAGAGACAGTATGTATCTGGATGACCAACAGATATATAATGTGAGCATATTTGAATTTTTCAGGAGCCACACTAGGAAACATGTTACCTAATATATCCAAACTATTCATGGCTCTCACATATAATCAATATACGGAATTAGTGAGGCACCTGGCATTGCGCCATGCCTAGGAAACCCAGTGCATTACATATGCATTTCTCCATTCAGCACCACCTCCAGCCCCACGTGGCTTGGGGCTCCTAAGGTGATCAGCACAGAGAAAGGGCACTTGGCACAGTTACAGGTTTTCATTCAAAAGTTCCTTTGAATTAAAAAAAAATAAAAAAAAAAATAAACTTTTTTTTTTCAGCACAGGCTTTGAGCCCCAGGGCCTTTGAGGATTGAGCCCAGGGCCTTCACACTGAGCTACATTCCTACACTCCCAGCCTTCCAGCTTTTTCTTTGTCACTAAGTGGCTACTTTGCTCATGTTGGGATCTAACTTAGGATCGTTCTCCAGCCTCAGCCTCCCAGAGAGCTGGGATTGCAGAAGAGCACCCCATGTCCAACTATGAAAGCTGTTTCAATGCAGAAAGCTCTCTCCATACCGAGAGACCATCCCCACTCATGAAAAAGAAGGAAGCGGGGGTGGGGGGGGAAGGAAAGGGAGGAGGAGGGTAAGGAGGAGGACGAGGAGGAGGTGGAGGAGGGGAAAGGAAGAGGAGAAAGAGGGAGGAGGAGGAGGAAGAGGAGGACAAAAGGAGGAGGAGGAGGAAAAGGAGCTCTTAAACAGGAAAAGGACCAGGAAAGCAAGTTTGAAGCAGGCAGTGGAAATAGGTTCTTTATTCCCCCTCACAATAAATTCATTATTCTCCCCTAAGAAATAAACCAGATGACGCTGAACGAATGTCACCTTATGAAAGTTTGGCACCCTATAGCTGTGCAGGCCCTGCTGTGGAGCACTCTCCAGTGCCTGGAGTGGAGGCCTGGACCCTTAACTGAACAATGACCGCTCCTGTCTGTGACATCTGCGGCTCTGTGTCCACACAGCCATGCACTCCAAAGGAGCCCATGAGAGAACTAGCAGGAGGACAGGAAAGAGAGGCCCAGAGCAATGCGGTGTTGAGCCAAACTTGGTCTGCATAGGCAAAGCCAGGGCCTTCGCTTTCCTTCCTGGCAAAGCCTGGAGTTAGTGTGCAGGTAGCCACTAGGCCCTGTGGGCTGATTCTTAACCAAGAATTCTTGGCCTCATTTTTGGCAACTGGGCTCCTTGGCCTTGTTCTTTCATTGTGCTGAACATTCATTCTTGCTACCAATTTTTGGATGAGGCTCAGAAGTGCCCTTTGCTGGGATGGGCAAAATGAACCCTCTATCCTTTTTCAAAAGGGTCCGCAGGTACTAAGAGAGACCCTACCTCTTCTCATTTCCTCTTATTAAGTGCTGGCTGATTCCTGGGAACTGCAGGGCCAAACCAAGCAGAGCTCCAAGAATTCCAAAGACAGGAAGGAGCTCCTCCTGTCAGCGTCAGTGACAGCAGGCATCCTCCGGCCCTATTGTGAAGTTGCTGACCACATGCCAGCCAAAAGAACCCAAAGGAGAAGTCACAGAATCCTCTAGATCGAAGTTGCCCTTAAGCTAGGAAGTCAATGCAAACTCCTTGCTAGGCCTGGGAGGGTCGCAGAACGCAACCCACCATCAGCCATGCTCAGCCTCACTCGATTTTCTGCTCCTTCAGACACACCAGAGTCATGCCAGCTTTGGGCGTTGGCCTTGGGATTTCTCTCTAGAGGGTGCTCTGCCCTGAGGTTTCCAAGGCTGCCTCTTGCTTGTCATTCAGGTGTTAGTTCAAATAGCAGCCTTCCTTAGAGCAGGAGCCCGCCCTTCCTCTCTCACCTTGTACACAGTTACTTTCAAGGCACTCACACAGGGTGCAGGCTTCCTAGCCGCCAAGCAGCTCCTGTGGAGCCTCCTGAGACTCTTCTCCTCTCTGCTGCACCTCCAACACCTGGCACGACTGCTTCCTGGCACACAGTAGGTATATCAGTGGCATGGACTCGTTGTATGCAGTAGCCAGATAGGCCAGTGGCTAGGAGTTATTGGGAAAAGCCTTTAAAGAATGAAGAACTTAATTTTATCATCATAAAAGCCTTCATTTTCATTCCCAAGAAATTCTAGCAGAGATCGGATCTTGAAAGGGGAACTCAGCATTTCCAAAGGTGACTGGGGAAGATCATCTGGCAGCCTGGACAACATTTTAATTAACAAGGAGGGGACACAATGAAGCAACCCTTCAAAAGTATTTTAATTTTTTTCCCTAAGTCGTCTTATTATATGATTCACACCTTGACCTAGATTTCAAATGTAATTAGCTATAATATATTTTCTCAGTCTCAACCCTGGAACTTACTCATGGATCAAATGAAGGAACCAGGATATTTCTCCAGAGACAACCCGAGCACATCAGGGCCAGTGATGGTTGCCCTCCCTCTGCCCGCAGGGCCCAGTCACAGCCCCTCTAGTAGAGAGACGGTAACACTGCTGGGACAGGCAAGAATCTCCTGGAGGATGACACAGATGATCAAAACACCTGGACACAACTCGTTTATGGCTTCAACAAGAGATGAAAGAGAAGAGCTCACTTGCGGAGCACCTATGAGATACCAGGCAGTAAGCACTTGCTTGTAAATTACCACTTCTAAGACTTGCAATTCTACCCAGAGGTAGTTGTTTTCCTTTCATTTTATATTTGTAAGCAATAAAAAATAGTCAAAAACAAAAACAAAAGGCAAAGAAGCTTTCATAATCAGACAGATCCAAGTTGGGGTTCTTACAGCTAACTGACCTCAGTGAGAACACCGGCTCAGTGTGCTAAAATCAGATCACACCTAACAGAGCAACTAGTAGATAGCCAACAACAGTAACCAGCCTGCCTTTTCCCTGTGAGAGACTAGCAAACACACTTAGAGTTAAATGACTTGTGCAAGATCACAGCACCAGGAAGTACTGTATGAAAACTAAAGTTCCATGGACCATCTCTGGAGCCCTGTTTTTTCCTCCAGTGAACAGTGCTACTTCCTTGTGGGCATTGGGAGTGCATTCCGGGCAGAGGGAGGAGCTTGCCCAAAAGCATGATAAGATAGCAGAAAGTATGAGATCTATTATCCTGCTGTGTAAAAACTGCTTCTTTCCAAGCATCCCAAGGGTGGAGTGGTTTGATTTGGTGGGTAATGACAGTTTGAATAACAGAGCTATCATTATTTTTTTATACAGCTGAAATTCTGAGCAATCAAAGGTGTAGGATTATTTGCTCATCTCTCAGAGTCAAAAAATATCTCCACATTTGTCTTGGCACAATTATTTAATAGCCTGATGCTGTGGTATGAAATTTTCATCCTCCACAGGTCATCTTGGAAACAAACGAACTGGAAGTAGATCTGGCTTGTGTCTATCAATCTATGAAAGGACACTGATATTCCAAGACCTGCGTACATATTTATTTTCTTGACATTGCCTCTACATCGATGACACTTGCACAGGCGCTGACATTCACTGTGGCTTGGCCTGGCAATAACTGCTATAAAGTGGGATGAGGTGGGAAGAACCCAGGATAGAAAAGAACAAAGGAAAGGTTAGGTCATGCCATGTTAATACAGTTCCTTGGACCACATTTGCCATGTGGGGAAACTAGAAGTGTGATGGACCCCATTTTCCCAATGAAAAAGATGAAGACTCTTGGAAGGCAGCTCTCCCAGGTATGCCATGTCCCCTTCCTCCCTCACAATGGTAGGAGGTCGTCCTTTGCAAAGGGTTAGCTGAATAAGAAACACAGCACTGTAGTAGTATAGACAGCTGAGCTAGGTAGCAATATTATAGGCAGTCAGACAGGCCTGGGCCCTGGAGGGAGTCAGTACAGAAGGTGAAAATGAGCTGCAACTGTGGCTGGAAGCACATCCTTTGAAGGCCAGGCCTCCAGATAAAGAGAGAATGTGCAGGTTTGCATGCCTCAGAGGATAAGCAATAGACTGTAATTTGTATTGCCCAGTGCAATACAGTCTAGATAGACAACTGCCACCCAGGTAGGCGACCAGGATATCCTAATTCATCTCTTCCCAAAAAGGTCCTTGTTCTTCCCAGGTATGCTCGATGCATGACCTGCGCTGGTTCGATATTATCTCAGCAGATACAGTTGTGATTGTGCTGGTGGATCATAGTTTTGTCTCATGTTGTATCTACCTCGTGATTTTGTATTCACCTTGTGATTTTGCAATATAAAACTTTTTTTGAGACATGGGCTCATGGGCAACCCACTTTGCCCCACCTCAGCTCTTAGGAGCAATGTCTCTCAGTAAGTATTTTTCACTTTTGCCCTCCTTGTCCCTTAGGATTTATTCTTTGATCTTGAGGTGCACGAACTTGGCTTATCTGACATCTAGCGGGGTTGGAAGTTTTCTTCCGCTATCAGTAGAACTGAAGGGAGGAGATGTCTGCAGGCCAAGAAAGGCAGCCCAGTGCCCTTGCAATGCCCTTGCGGGAGCAGAGATTTACATCTCAGGGTCCTCTTGGAGCCTCTGAGTGCTCCAAGGCAAAGGGAGAATCATAAATGCATCCTGCCCCGTGGTGTAGCCCTGACATCAACCTACAGGACTCTATTCTCCACCCCAGTGGAAGATGAAGTCCAAGAATCCAGATAAAGGGTTCAGAGGGAGCGCCTCTCACTTGCCTCCCTGGAGTCTCCACTGCAGGTTACAATCACCAGGCAGTGTTGTACAACCCCCCTGAAGATCTAACTCCAAAGGCTGATTTTATTGCAGGCGGTCTGGGGGAGACCTTGGAATCCGCATTCCTCAGGAGTTCTCAGGGAAGCCTCTCTCTCCACCTACAGTCCTTAGAATCTGTTTGGAATGTGGACACTCATTCAGATTCTGATTATCTTAGCCTGCAAAAGGAGTGCTCTCTTTCTTTCTTTCTTCTTTTCTTATTGTGATGGGGACTGTTTTAATTCCAGGATTAAAAACAATTGTAGACAACAATGCCAGAGCTCAGTCTGGTCAGTCTGGTAGGGCCAGGGCAAGGGGACAGTGATATTGAAATTCACACAGTATTTCAGCCAAATATCCAGGCTCAGATCTCAACTCTGTAATTTAAAATCCACAACACAACCTTGAAACTCAAAGCCTGCGCTCAAATGCACTGGTCCTGGATATTGATTTTAAGGATTAAATACAAAAGCATACTTAAATTCTTAGGGCCTTTCTACACTGTCTGGCCCCACCGAAAGTCTTCAAATCACAGGAGCTATTTTTGTCCCTAAAAAAAGGAAAAGTGCTGAATGGTATAAATAAATGGGACTCGGGGATGATAATTAGTCAAATGCAGTTGTTCACCATCCAAAGTACCGCAGTGACTCAACCAGACAGAGGCTCAAGTAAGAAAAGAAGTGACACAAAGGAGGAAGCCAGCTGTCTGTGGAGGACACAAAGTAGGTCCTGCACCTGAAGGAAGGGTGAGCGGCAGCAGTGCTCACCGAGGTAGCCCCCAGCCGAGGAGGCAGTGCTGCTCCTTCTCTGCCATGTGCTTCATCTGCGCTGCTGGGTACAGAAGGCGACAGTGACCTAAATAAATCCTTCATTAGACCCAGAAACACACAGGCACAGGCAGCGCGTGGTGGAGCTCTGTGACAGAAGGGCGGACAGGGCCTCTCTCATTGTTCTGGCCAGCTGAGTGGGAAAAGGTCCTGCCTCAGCCAGGAGCTGGATGCAGGAATGCTCCAGCCCACTCCGCTGCATGTGGCTTTGGCCCTGCTGCAGGGCTAACTCAGCCTCTGCCAGGTGCTGTCCCAGATGCAGGAGCCTTGCTGGCTGGGGTGACAGTTGTCGGTCAGATACATTCCATGTTCCTCCCCAGAAATACCCAGGAGAAGACACATGGCACAAGAGGTAAAAAGGGCCACATGTCATCTAATTCTGTCTCTTTATTTTGTGGAAGGGGAACAGAGATTGGTACAGAATAGGTCAACTAAATAGGTTGGTACTGAAGCTACCTGATTCCTGTACCCAAACACATGGAGATCTATACTTCTTTTTGGATTGGGACTGGGCAGATTAGAATAGTGTGCAGTTGTGAAAATATCCATGCAAACCAAAGTACAAAGGATGGACAAAGGTGGAGGAAAGTTCGGTCTGATCATTTGAGCCAACCTAAAAAGGACACAGGCATACGTGTTCTCCAGCACCGACAGGTTGCAGGCTTACCCCACTCTGTCATGGTATTTGTGTGTAGAGATTTCAGAAGATGGTTAGATTTAGATGAGGTCATGTGGTTGGAACCTAAGGTGAAATGTTTGGTACCTTTACAAGAAGGAGAAAAGACCAGAGGTCGCCCTCATCACCATGGAAAGACACATGAGGAGGCAGCCATCTACATGCATGCCTGGAAGAAAATCTCACCGGGAACGGAATACACAGCACCTCCATTCTGGACATCCAGCCCTGCAGATCTGTGAGAGCTAAATCCTTAGTGTTGAACCCCAGTCCCTACAAGACTTGGTTATGGCAGCCCAGCTGACAAAGCCAGCAGAAAAACACTGGTAGAGAAAAAGAGTTTGTCTGGCAGCCCTTCTGCTGCACAAGCCAGGACTTCCTCCTAGACCCAGGAGGTGACATCACATGGAAAGTCGGTTGGCTGGCGGGGCTGTGGCAGGCCGCCATGTACATGGTGCATGCAGGACACAGCTGTTGCAGGTTGTGGCAAATGTGGTTGGAGACCAGGAACCAGGGTGGTCTGGTCTTCCTACTTCTCAATATTCAGCTATGGATTTTTATGTGTTATGCCCTTTTATTACTATAATAAATGGATATTTTAGTTACCAAATAAGGAGAACATATGGAGCATCATTTAAAAAAGTATTAGAGAGCAAGCTGGCTGGATTCATGCCTAAGGTCTACATGCATCCAAAGGTGATCACTTTTACAACCACGTGTCAACAAGGTGTCAAAGGTCCTAAGCATGCACTGGGTTCCTGGGTCCTCAAAGAGCACCCTGCAATGTGCAAGAAAGGCTCATGTGGAAACAGCCACCCCTAGGTTTCAGGGGAGACAAGGATGGAGTAGCCTCATGAGAGCACCCAGAGATAGAGTTGGCTGGGAAGCAGGGAGCACCTGGTAGGCAGCTAGAAGAGAGGTGATTCATGCCCAGTACACACGCAGTCCAGGGACAGCTTGCAGCTGGAGCAGTGGCTCAGGGAGGTATGAAGAAAGTGTGGGCTGGGGCTTGCTGTGGGGCACGCAAGCCATGACAGCTATCAGTGGAGACGAGGCTGCAGAAACCCCAGCTTTTCTTTTGTGGGTGCTAGGGACTGAACACAGGGAATGCTGAGGAACCGAAACACACAGAAGAACAAAAAACAGGGTCTAGCAATGCCCCATTCCTATAGATCGTTCAGACCTGGGAGAAAAGTTAATGGAAAACCTTGAAAACTTCTAAGAGCTCTTTTCCCTTGCTGGAATGGAACCTGGGGTCTCACACGTATTTGCCACGTGCGTCATCGTGAAGCCATCAAGAGATATCTGAGTATGTGTGTGGTTGGCTCATGATGGTTCATGTCAAATAAAACATCAAAGCAGCTTTTTGAACATATAGTCCTTGACTTACAATGGGGGGACATCCTGATGGGGCCATTGAAATACGGTGATTCGAAAATGCACCCAACACACATAACCAGCTGCCATCACAGCACTGGGGAGTGGCAGCTGTTCCCTTGTGTTCAAAGGACTGAGCAACAACTCCCTGCTGTTGTCCGGGTGCTCAGACAGAATTAGACCCAGTACTGCTGGACCCAGGAAGAGCTCAGATTCCAGGAGATTTCTACAGTCGCATCTCACTTTTGTGCCTTCATAAAGCACAAAAATGGTTAAGCGAAACCATCCGAAGTCAGGCACTGCCAGGTACTCTGAAAGTAACCGAGGAAAGAGCAGAGGTCACAAGGATGCAGAGCTGGCTGTGGCCAGTGACTCGGGCACCACAGCAGGCTTTGGCTTTACACTGGCAGTGTTTTTCTTTTTTGAACAGATGTGTTGCTGTTCATGTGAAAACAATAATAAAAGCATTAACGCATGATTCTTTCCTCTGTGCCACATACACATCCATACACCACTGTCATTTCCATTTGTCCCACACTTAAAAAAAAATAAAGAAAATGTTATCCAAGGTCAGTATTTCTTTATTCAGATGCTTTGGCTCTACAGATTTAATTGATATCCTATTTTTGTCTCTGGTTCAAGCTTCAATAGTATTTATTCATTTAATTATTCATTTGAGTTTATTTTAAGACAGGTTCTCACGAAATCACTAAATTGTCAAGGGTGACCTTGAACTTCAAGATCCCTTTCTTACCCTCCCAGAATGCTGGGGTTTCAGAATATGACAATTTCTTACATCATAATAAATTTTCTTTAAGCAAGAGACACATAGCTCATCCTGAAATACTGAAATGCCATGTAACCCATCTGATTTACCACAGTCTCACCCTCACATAACCCTCAGATCTCATGCTATCTTCTGTTACAGTTTCACTGTCTTCAGCTCACCTGGCGCATGGCACATTAGAGTGATATGGGCCATTATAGTCATCCTTTCTAAATATGGGTGCAAAACGACTGAGTTACGGTTTATATCTTTAGGATACATGCTATTTGTGCACAAGCCTGTCATCCCAGCTGAGGCTGAAGCAGGGAAGGCTGCAACTTGGAGTTCAGCTGCGATTCAGGTCAGCATGAAGGTCTTGCAGAGTCATTTCTTACTGCATAAATAACATCTGAAACAAGCTGGCATTTGGGGAGAAATTCTGGGTTTCTCAAGGGGAACTACTGAAACTTGGAAGGAGGTTCATGGCTGAACTCTGAGCCTGAACATGATTCACCTTATGTGCCAGAGAGCAAATCATGTGACCTGCTAGACTTTTCTTATCTAAAAGTGGGAGTGACCACAACAATAGGACTGTCCTGCAAACCAAAGGCAGGGTTAGGACAGGGAAGGCAGGAGAAAGGGCCTGCCCTGTGTTAATCCTCAGGCTACATGGGTCATTGCCATTGGCTTAATCCCTGGTGCTGCTGCCGACA